AGAGCAATCATTGGATATAAGCTCGAGATCAGTGCGTAGACGAGTAGTGGCAGCTGGTCTGCATGCCTGTAAGACATCAAAAAACCATTCATATCTGAAAAAATCAAGAAGGCTTTCGGAAACGATAATATTAAGTGGAATCAAGCTCAATGGAAAAAAACATTATTTCTGGGATGAGTCTACGTTTAATATTAAAGGCTCAGACGTGAAAAATTTTACGGTGAGAAGACCAAAAAATGAAGGACTCAAGCCGCAGTGTTGCAAAGGTACAGTGAAGCATGAGGGAGGGTCAAAAATGGCGTGGCGCTGTTTTTCTTTCTATGGACTTGGGCCTATCCATAAAATAAAGGAAGTTGTGGATCGGTTTGTTTACAAAGATGTGTTGGACATCACGTTGTTCCCTTACGCTGAGTAAAATATTCGGCTGATTTGGGTGTTTCAGCATGACAATGATCCCAAACTTGTCAAATATTGGTTGCGGGAGTCAAAAATTCATGTTTTATTATGGCCGGCACAATCACCTGACCTAAACTCCTTAGAAAACCTTTGGAGTATCGTAGATAGGAAGATCAAGCCAGATTCGGAAATAAATAAGCACAACATTTTCTAAAGAATTCGGGGTGCCTGGGAAAGCAAACCCAAGGATCAAATTGAGGGTGTTATAGATTCAATGCCTCGTAGGTGTGCAACTGCTATCAAAAATAATGGTTATGCTATCGACTATTAGCCAAAATTTAATTATTTTAAAATAAAAAATCAAAAGTTGCTTTAGTTTTGACCAAGCAAAAATTGGGTCATTTTAGTTTTCCACATATTATTCAAAATTATTTTTATTTTTAGTTTCTTAAAAGTGAATTAAACCCCTCATTTAAAACTGGAAAAATAATTACGATTTGTTTATTTTTGTTAAAGTTACAGGACATTTATTGTCTTTGCGATTTAAGTTGCTTTAGTTTTGGCCACCATTGTGTAGCAAATTGTAGTCCAAAGAGACCTAGGGTCCTGATTCGCATAGATGGTTGAGGGTAATAAAAATTGAAAAACATGGTTACAGTGCTTCCCCTGTGTAACACCCGTGCCCCCTAAAATGCTTTATTTTTGTCAAATGTTTCAAAATAAATAAATTTCCTCGTACTATTCAAAGAAATGCATAACCATTCATTCATTCCAAATTCATTTCGCCCCTCCTTATCCTCCACATATTTTTGCAAATAACCTCATACATTCTCATACAATAGCGCACCCCCTCATCCTCCCTCACTCATGGTGTTCTACATATCTTTTAGTGGTTATCAAAAGACATGAACAAATATTTGCATTTATGTCGTGCACAGTTGACAGATGTCTGTCAGTTCTGTTTAAAGTGAATGAGATGCATTCATATGTTGTTTGTGTTGTTGCAGTTGTTGCTCTTGTTAATGTGGTTTGTTCGCTTCGATGTTTGTTGCTGTAGCTTGTCCTTTTTGGCTGGCTGGCTAGCTAGCTGGCTGGTTGACTGCTTGCAATATTATGCATTACACAAATATGTATGCAAACAAGAGGTATCTGCTTGGTTGTTGTTGTTTTTGTGTTTGCATAATGTCGTTGTTGCCCTTAGGCCATTATTTTTTACATGTTGTTGTCCGCTGTTCAACTTGGAAACCTAGTTCCATGTTAAAAACTAAAAACCACAAAAGAATGTTGCAAATGACTTTTACACAGAAAATGTCCCAAAAAAAAAAAAAAAAAAAAAACGGAAGGCAAAAAGAACGTTGACCGGCATTTAGTTTTTAATATTTGTTATGAATTCATTGTGTATTTGTTGTGAACTCAATTAGAAATTTTCAAATTTCATGAAAACACATTGAAAGAAGAATCAAGGTACTATTATCCGCTCGAAAATGTTGGGTTATGACAAATTTATTAAATCGCTTGTCTTTTGGCAAGAATATTCAAACGGAATGTTAGACAGAAACAAGCATAGCAAATAAATAGTACAACCAATTAACGGGGTTTTAAGCACATATTAACATCTTATTTTTATGGCCATTTCTAAGACAATAGAATTTATCTTACTTCATTTGTATTGTTTTGTACCCTACACCACAGTTGTGTACAAGGTATTTTATCTTTGAACATTTGTTTGTAACATCCAGACGAAAATGAAACAAGTAAAAAAGTAGTAAGTTCGGCCGGGCCGAACTTTGAATACCCTCCACAATTTGGAAAAAATTGGGACATTTTCAAAAAATAAAAATAAAATCCATTAAAAATTCTGTTAAAATCTCGGAAGGTGCCGATATATTTGGGGAATAAATGATATAGTGGACCTATATAGACAACTCTCTTTTAGAGAGTAAAGTACTCACAAATAACTCCTTGCATAGAATTGAAGACAATTCCGTTTAAAATTGTACCTAAAATCATCAAAATACCAAATATCGGGGGGTACCGTTATATGGGGGATATACGATATCATGGACCTATATAAAGAAATCCCCGTCAGTGGGTAAAGAGTCCACAAAGAACCTCTTGTGTAGAATTTCAGATAATTCCGTTGAAAAATGTGGCTAAAATCATCAAAATACCAAATATCGGGGGGTGGGGGTACTGTTATATGTGGACTATATGATATCGTGGAGCTATATAGATAATTCTCTTTTAATGAATAAAGTACTCACAAGGAACTCGTTGTCTGGATTTTCAGACCATTCCATTGGAAAATGTGGCTAAAATCATCAAAATCCCAAATATCGGGGGATACCGTTATATGTGGTTTATACGATATTTTTAACCTATATTGACAATTTCCTTTCAGGGGGTAAAGTGCTCACAAGAAACCCCTTGTGTAAATTTTTAGACAATTCCGTCGAAAAATGCGTCTAAAATTATCGACATACCGAATATCGGGGGGTACCATTATATGGGGGATATACAATATCGTAGACCTGTATAGACAATTCTCTTTCAGGGGGTAAAGTGCCCACAAAGAACTCCTCGTGTGGATTTTCAGATTATTATATTAGAAAATGTGCCTAAAATCATCAAAATTCAGAATATCGGGGGGTACCGTTATATGGGAGCTATACGATATCGTGGACCCATATAGATAATTCTCATCGAAGGGATAAAGTACTCACAAAGAACTCCTTGTGTAGAATTTCAGACAATTACATTGACAAATGTGGCTAAAATCATCAAAATACCGAATATCGGGGGTACCGTTATATCGGGGATATACGATATCGTGGACCTATATAGACAACTCTTTTTCAGGGGGTAAAGTGCCCACAAAGAACTCCTCGTGTGGATTTTCAGACTATTATATTAGAAAATGTGCCTAAAATCATCAAAATTCAGAATATCGGGGGGTACCGTTATATGGGAGGTATACGATATCGTGGACCTATATATATATAATTCTCTGCCAAGAGATAAAGTGCTCTTAGAGAACTGCTTGTGTGGATTTTCATACAATTCCATTGAAAAAGTGTGGCTAAAATCATCAAAATATCGGATATTGGGGGTATCGTTATATGGTGGCTATACCATATCGAGGCCATTGTGCGCTGGAAATGAAGCGGGGATCCTAATGTTGTAACCATTCTTGGGTGGCGCGTGCTGAGTCCTGTTGGAATGTCCAAGGTCTGCGGCCAAAATGTGTGCGTGCCCAAGGCTTTAATCCACCATCCAGAATATTTTCGCGATATTATTTGGCATTTATACTGATGCCGCATTCGATTAATACGAGCGGGGAGAGACCATCGGCTGTTATGGCGGCCCACACCATCACCATGGACGGCGTTTGAGTTCTGACCTCTTTGGCAAGTAAACACGATCATTTTGTTTGTTTACAAATTGCTGGACAACGAATGTTTTCTCATCGGAGAAATCCATATGCGGCAGTTGACCACTTTCGGCCAAGCGAAGCAACTCTTTACCTCTTTTGAGTCTATTTTCTTTCTGTTGCGGTGTAAGTCCGTGCACTTTTTGGAATTTCAATGCCCGAATGGAATATTGCTATATGTTCAGCTCACGAGCCATGTTTTCGGCCACTGCGATGCGGGTTTCGATCAAGTCACTTCTTTACTTTTCGAACCATTTCTGCTGATGTTGCTGTTTTCTTTCGTCCACTTCCTTGACATATATGGTGCTACGCTACCAGTATCACAGTAACGAGCAATGGTACGAGACACAAAAGATTTATTCACATTTAAATGCTGGAGTGCTCTAACGATAGCCACTTGTGGTTTTCCAACCAAATATAAAGAAATCACACTATCACGCTGAATTCCATCACAAATAACTTTTTTCTATAAAATGTCGCACCAAAATGCTTTTGTACGCTTGTAAACAATATAATGAACTGTCACTGGAATAATTTTAACAGCTGTCGGATGAGTGGCTTAGAAATTACAGCAGTCTGAAGTTGGTGGTAGTTTTTTCATCTCTCCCTGTATATGTGGGCAATAGCCAAATCTGAAATGATTTTTGGAAACACACTAACTAGCCGGTTATCACTCAGAAAATTGAATGAGATCGGTTTGCCCCCCTCTATTTAGGTTGTTTTGTGATATAAGGTTTCAATATGTCGTTACAAGTGTCTTCTATTTTTAGCTCTTTATGAATAATCTAACCAAATGTACGCCTATTTTTGGAAACCCATGTTTTTTAAAGGGTTTGTCTTAATAGAAGATCTTTCGTAGGTCTTTTATGACAGTTCTTCCGTCTTTTCACTTTTCTCATATGTTATTATCATAGTCTAGACACTAATGGGTTAATAGGCAAAATTAAGATTAAACATGTGTTTGACCTTGGCATTCTTTCCATTGTTTCCAAATTCTTATCCCACTTAAAAAAAAAGAGAATTTTCTTCCAAACTTTTTGTATAAAATGTTGACTTAAATCTCCCAGCGTGTTTTAATTGATAACCTTTCTTCGGTTTGAAATTCAGTGTCTGATGATGTGCGATGATAATTGAATTAAACTCTTGCCGAATTTAGTATTGAAATCGGTGTGAACAATAACGGTCAGTCGGTCGGTAGGTTGGTTGGTTGGTGAAAGTAAAATGTTTGGAACTCTAAAATGGATTTTGGTTTTGTTACTTTTGCGGGTCTCCGTTGCGTGGACGACTAGCATTGACCCTTTTGGTGACATCAATCAACGATATAAACAACAGCTGCTCCGCTATGCAAAATCGGCTGAAATGCGAAATTATATGGACGAGGATGTGGATCCCTGCAGTGATTTCCATCAGTTCGCCTGTGGCCACTACAAACGACTTAATCCCCCAAATTACTATCCATATGTAAACAATCCATTCGAGAGCATATCCAATGCCTTGAGCCGCAAAATATCGGTGGTGCTGAGAGATAAAACTTCGGTGGACACCTTGGCCGAAATGAAAGTGAAGAATTTTCATGAATCATGCATGAATGTGGGCATACTTAAGAATACCTATCCTGAGAAATTAAGAGAAATTGTAGAAGAATTTGGAAAAATGCCCGCTCTGGAGGATGATGAAATATGGTTGACATATGAATTCGATTGGTTGAAGACCATAGCGGAAATTGCCCGTAAATATGATATTCGAATAATTTTGGGTTTCGAGGTAAAGGTTGATACTGCCAACAGCCGTATACATCGTTTACATTTGGCCATGCAGGATTTGCCGTTGGGTTCGAAATTGATATACACCCAGGAGCATCATGAGGTCTATAGAAAAATGCGCCAGGATAATATTGCCGAGTTGCTTAGGTCCCTATTGGGCTTGGATGAAAATTCCAGCGAAAAAATTGCCCATGAAATATTTGACTTTGAAAGTGTGCTTGCAATGGCTCGAACTGACACAAATAGTAGGACATTTTTTACCAAAAGTTTAAGAACCGTTGATGATGTCCACAATAAATACTTTCCGCATTTTGATGTTAAACGGATGTTGACAATATTGCTGGGCTACATACCTACTGCGAAAATTTATGACCTCAACTCTTTTGAGACGGAGAGAATTATCGCAGCCATACAAACTACCCCCAAGCGAGTTGTGGCCAATTACATATTCTTCAATCTGTTGGAACATTTCATAGTGATGAAACCCAAAATGTCCGATGAATTGGAACATTTATGCCTCATGCGTACAAAGAAATATTTTAGCAATATCATGGATGACATGGTCTATCGGAAATATATCACACCACAAATGGAGCAGGATGTTCAGCAAATGTGGCACACCATAAAGGCAAGTTTCCAACGCTCTTTAGACTCTGTCAAACTGAGCTGGATGAGACCACTGACCCGGCACATGGCCAAACTGAAATTGGATGCCATGAAACTGGAAATCAATTCCCACAAAGAAGATAATTTCGATTTGGAATTCCAAAACATAACCTTGAACAAACATGATTTGGTTGCGAATCTAAAGGAAATTTGCACCTGGAAAGCCCAGCAAACAAGAACGAGGTTAGGAGAAAAACCTCGGCCCCACAACGAAGCGGTTATGTCCTTTTCGCCAGTCTATATTTTACACGAAAATCTCATCAAGGTGCCCGTGGCTATGCTGCAGCCCTACTACTTGTGGTCCGATTCCTATCCCAATGCCTTGAAATTTGCCACGCTGGGTTTCTTCATATCCCACGAGCTGATACATGCCTTCGATGAAGAGGGCCGGCTGTTCGATGCCAACGGCAATAATCGTCAATGGTGGGATTTCTATACCCAAGAGTATTTCATTAAAGGCACCCAATGCTTTCGCAGCCAATATCAGGAATATATCTACGATGGTCGTCATCTCTCGGAAAATCTATCACAATCGGAAAATATTGCCGACAATGGTGGCATACAGTTGGCCTTTGATGCCTACTCCGATTGGTATCATCGTTCCCGCTTAAACATCGAATTGGAAATGCTGCCACGTCTAAATTACACGGGTAAACAATTGTTTTTCATTGCTTACGCCCAGCTGTGGTGCAGCTCCACCCATCCGATGCTTAGGAATTTTGTCACAACCATGGATGAACATGTGCCCGATAGATTTCGTGTCATTGGGCCGCTATCGAATTTTCTAGAATTTTCTAAGGAATTTTCCTGCGATCTGGACACTCCAATGAATCCATTAGAAAAGTGTGTTATTTATTAGGTTATTAGTGTAGTGCGAATGATTATAATTTATTTCTGAATAGAATGGAAAAAGAAAATATTTTAAGAGGATTTTTAAATAAATTTGTTTGTTTCAAAATTGTTCTTTGTAAGATTTTGTTTTTACGCTGTGCAACACAAAAGATATCTACAGGGAAAATCCAGTAAATTTTGAAAGAAGAGCAAAACTAGAAGATAAGTGTATTGACGTTTTGAAAGTTTACATCGCAAAATTAACCAAATATTTATATTCAAGTGTTTCCTTTCTCGAAAAGGATATTCGAAAAATAATCCCTTGAACCAGGGAGCATATCAGTTAATCCCATTGGCTCCAAATTTAATTCTTCTGGACAAAACCAATTCAACGTGTTTTCATAATAAAAATTGGCCACGCCCATAACTAAATCCCATAAACCCTCATTCAATATTAAATTTCAGATTCATTTCAGGCTTATCCATTCACTCAAATTTATTACTTTTTAAATAACCATAGTTCGCTTTCCCCAATGCACTTCCTTCTCTCAAAACTAAGTATATACCAACAGTGTCATCCATAGTATAATAATAAATTATATAGTTCCAGCTCTATCTGTTCAAATAATTCCCAATTTAGTGTCACTTATAATTTTTCGAACACTTTTCAGTACACTTTTCCAGTAAAACCGGCTCAGAGTTGCATATAGCTCCCAACTATCCTTAATCCGATTTCAGCTTTTTTGTGCAAATAATTGTTGTTATCAGCCCAAATGGAGTGAATTTCGGGACGTACTTTTCCATTGGTGGAACTCGGCTCCGATATATATTGGTGGAACTCGGCCCCGATATATATTCGAAGTGATATCATGCACTCTATAGCAACGTTGTTTGCTATAAAATTAAAAATGTATCCGTAAAAATTTGGTGAAAATCGATTCAGAATTGGATATGCCTCCCAAATATATGTACCCTCCCTCTATAACCAAACCATGACTGCTCTACAGCCAAATGTTGATAGGTTGTATGATCTACTTCAAATAAATTATTTTGTTACGGTAGTTCTACTAAAATCATATAAATCATACTTTACCACAGGTAGCAACAGTCACATCTATATGAAATTTCAGAATTCCAGCTCTATTCCTTCACCCAATGCCAAATTTAGTACCACTTAGTACTTTTCGTACAATTATAGTACGCATTTCCAAAACCAGATCTTTCTCTCAACTACAGACATCCACAGTAAGATACATATCAAATTTCGGAGTTCATGCTCTATCTCTTCGCCCAATACCAAATTTAGTACCAATTGGTACTTTTCGTACAATTATAGTACGCATTTTCAAAACTGTTTTCATATGTACCAACAGTGACTTCAATATCAAGTTTCGTTATTACAGCTCTGTCCCTTCATCCATTACTCAATTTAGTACCACTTAGAACCTTTCAAACAATTATAGTACACTGTTCCAATGTAACCAACATATTTAACAACAGATACCAACAGTCAAATTTCAGGATTTCAGGTCTCTACCTTCACTCAATGCCGAATTTATCATCCATAACACATTTTAGGATTCCACCTATATCTCTTCACCCAATATCAAATTTAGTACCACTTAGTACTTTTCCAACAATTATAGTACGCATTTTAAAAACCATCTTCATATGTAAACCTCAGGTAGAAACAGTGATCTTAATATCAAATTTAGGGATTCCAGCTCTGTCCCTTCACTCTATACTCGATTTAGTACCACTTAGTACCTTTCGAACAATTATAGTACACATTGCGAAATCACTTGCATATCTCAATTTCAGATACCAACAGAGAATTCCATCAGAGAATTCCAAATCTGAGAATTCTATACAAAATATCAGGATTTCTGCCCCACCCCTTTAGCCAATACCAAATATAGTACCATTCCGTACGCTTCGACAATTATAGTACACATTACCAAATTTCAGATTTCTAAATTTAGTATTTGTACCAAATGTGGTTTTGGATGAAATCTAAAGTAGAAATGTACGAAATGGGCATTTCGCACAACTGTCGCACATGTCTCCAAACTACTTCAGATTTTCCCTAAACCCATAGTTGGTACAAATATAGCACTATTTAGTACTTTTCGTGCAATTGTAGGAGGCTATAAATACTCCCTACTGGGAGTCCATAAAGACCCCCTACTGAGATTTTATAAAAACCAGGAGTCTATAAAGACTCCCTACTGGAAGTCTACTGGGAGTCTATAAAGACTCCCTATATTCGCTTTTTAACGACTCCATATAGCTAGTCTATAAAGACTCCCTCCTGGCAGTCTATAAAGACTCCCTCCTGGCAGTCTATAAAGACTCCCTCCTGGCAGTCTATAAAGACTCCCTCCTGTCAGTCTATAAAGACTCTCTACTGGGAGTCTATAAAGACTCCGTCCTGGAAGTCTATAAAGACTCCGTCCTGGGAGTCTATAAAGACTCCCTCCTGGGGTCTATAACGACTCCCTACTGGGAACCTATAAAGACTCCCCTCTGGGAGTCTATAAAGACTTTCTATTGGGAGACTACAAAGACTCCCTTCTGGGAGTCTATAAAGACTCCTTTCCCAAACCATTAATTTATAGCAAACAAAGCAGCAACAGGGAACCCAATACAAAACTTCAAGATTTCAACTTCATCTGTTTATCCTAAACCAAATTGTTCAAAATTCTGTACCAAGTTCAGATTTCAGACAATCTCTTTTCACACAAAACCATTTTTTACCAAATATCGTGCTATTTGGTACTTTTTGTACACTAACTAAACCAAACTGTTCTAAATTTAATACCATTTGATACATTTCGCACAACTGTCTTAATTTCAGTTTACTTTAGATTTCAAACACTATCTGTTCACTCAAAACCATTTTAAACCAAATATAGTGCCATTTAGTACTTTTCGTGCACTTGTAGGACACATTTCCTTAATTACCTCTTTATCGCAAAAACTAACCAGCAACCAAAAAAACCCAATGAAAAATTTCTAAATTTCAGCTTCATCCGTTCACCTTAAACTAATCTGTCCCAAATTTAGTACTATTTAGTACATTTCGGACACCTGTCCAGACTATTCAGTTTTTAAACACTATATGTTCACCCAAAACCATTTTGTACCAAATATAGTGCTATTTAGTACTTTTCGTGCACTTGTAATACACATTTCCCAAACTACCTCTTTATCGCAAAATACTCAGCAACAGGGACCCAAAGCTGAAATTTCTAAATTTCAGCTTCATCCGTTCACCTTAAACCAATAGATTTTTAGCACTCTTTGTTCACCCAAAATCATATTTGGTACAAATATAGTACTATTTAGTACTTTTCGTGCACTTGGAGTACACATTTCCAAAACCACTTTTATATATCAATCTCACTTTCCAATCTTGATTCTCATATCAAGTTGAAAGTTTTTTGCTCTATCTTTTTATACCCTACACCACATGTGGTCAGGGTGTTATTCCTTTTTTCATTTGTTTGTAACCGGCAAAAGGAAACGAGATAGACCCATAGTTCCTTTTGATGATCTGCATAGAATCACATTCTGAGTCGATTTATGCATGTCCGTCCGTCCGTCTGTCCATGTATTTTTGTAAACAAATTACAGTTCGCATTTATTGCCCTATCCAGATGAAATTTTGCACAAATCATTTGTTTGGCCCAAGGACGAACCCTATTGAAATTGGAGATAATCGGACAAAATTTAGATATAGCTCCCATATATAACTTCGTCCGATTTGCCTTTTATTGTGCACCAAACGTGTAATATCAGTCCGAATAGTATGGAATTTTGCACTTACGATCAGTTTGGACCTGAAAATAAGAATAACAAATTTGATCGAAATCGGTTCAGATATAGCTATAGCTCCCATATATATTGTTCATCCGATTTGTTACTTTTGTCCTCCGCAGCCGTAATATGCACCCTGTAACAACAAAATTTGGGGAAATATATCAAATACAGCTCAGAAATACATTTGCTAAATTTTATCGAGATCGGTTCAGATTTGGACGTAGCTCCCATATATAACTTCGTCCGATTTAATTTTGATTGTACACCAAATGTTTAATATTTGCCCAAATGGGATCGAATTTGGCACTTTCGACCGAATTGAGTCTAGAAGGTAGTATGCCAAATTTGGTGAAGATCGGTTCAGATATAGCTATAGCTCCCATATATACTGTTTATCCGATTTGTTATATTTGTTACCCACAGCTGTAATATGCACTCCGTAACAACGATATTCAGGCAAATATATCAAATACAGCTCAGAAGTATCTTTGCCAAATTTTATCGAGATCGGTTCCGATTTCAAATTAATTGTGCACCAAATGGGTAATACAAGTCTGAATTTAAAAGATATAAACGCTTCGGGATATTTAGTCCTTTGAACTTTAAATTATAATTATAATCATAGCATGTGTGATTGAATTCTCCCATTAAAACTTTTAATTATTATGCGGTGCTCTACTAAATTAGCAAAGTGGTGTCATAATGTCAGCCCAGCCCGACTTTAAGATTTCCTTTACTGGTTACATAGTATCAAATGGTACCATGGGAGTACAGGATAGATATAATTTTTAAAAATTCGAACTTTAAGGTTACGAAAAGTTCAAATTTTCAAAAATTATATATATCCTGTACTCCATCATTGATTGTCAATCCAAATTTCAGAATTCTACCTCATTCCGATTGTCCAATAGAAAGTATTCAATTTTTAATATGTTTTAGTACTTTTCGTACCCTTTTAGTACGAATTTCCATATTATCCACATATCACACGCCTACTCACCAAGACGACTGCCCTACCACTCCATTATTTCACTACTCCTCTATATATAAAATTAATAACCCGCATTTTCTAATATATTTCCAATATTCTAAACGCCGATATTTAAATACCCTCTAATACGTGTTATTCATTGACATAATTGCTCACAAAATGCTACTTTTGCATTCATTATGCTAAGCCACAAACGTTCCATGAGCACACAGCCACTAATTCTATGGGGGCTTTTCGAAATCAAACAACTACAAAACGTCATTCGCTTTTCTTAC